AAAATGGCAGTATCGGAGCCGATACCCGATATGAATATCGGATCGGCGCATCCCTAATAATCCTTATTTTTTATCTATTATATTATTTTTTTAATAAAAGCATGGTTTAAAAGTCTAAGAATCTTGTAGTCTTTATTTAAATGTAATACATATACATTATACATATATATATATACACACACACACACACACACACACACACACAGTATCATACAGTAAATGACTTATATCATAGAGTAAAACCCTAAACTACAAAACACTAAAATATAAATCCAAGATTTTCTATGTGATCTTACACCTTTGGACCCCAGGACAGTATTTATTTTTTTTCTTCTTCTTCTTCTTCTTCTTTTTCATTCATGCTTGAAAAATCATCTGGATTTGTTTTCCCCTTTTTCAGGTCTGTATCCAGTCTCAGCCGTGATATTGAGTAATCGCTTTCAGAGATAAACCCCTAAGCCCATGACATCCAATATTACAGTTTGTGTCTTTCCTGCAGGACTTATGAATTTGTGCAGTGTTCAAAATGTGTTTTGTATCAACATCTGGCACCTATGAACATGAATTAACCATGTTATGAAGACACGGATATGGTAAAAATACCCAACGGGTAAAACCTCTCATCAGGATTCAGAAGTTTTCTCTCAGTGTGTTAAACTGCGAGAAAACTTTCAAACTCTACACAGCAGAAGCAAACACATGGAGAATGTAAAGGACTGATGAGTGTGTGATTGAATTGTAATAGTTATTGATCACAGCATTAAAAAAAATGTATCACAAAATAACAAACTGTGATCTGTGAAGTGTGTTGATGGCAAAAGATAACTGTTTTCCCTCATGGCTGTACGAGGCCGACAAACCGTCCAGCAGGGACAGCGAGAGAACTTGAATCAAGGATGTTCAGATAAAGTATGTGACCCTCAAGGCATGAATTACTGAACAAACCTCGGTCACGATTTAACAAAGGACACTATAAACAAGTTAGCAGATGATTTAGCAGAACCACTAATGGTCAAAGAAGGAAATGGTGTAGGACAAAACAGACAGTATTTATAGCGGGAGAAAGATAAAGTCGAGTCTGCTCGGATTTGAGACGTAAATGAGCAGCTCAAACATTCTCCAAAATATCTACTTTTGTGCTTGATCTAAGAATAAATGTAATGCAGGTGCAGAACGACATGAGAGTGAGGAATTTTCTTTTTCATATTTTGGTAAACTATACCTTTTTGTTTTGAAAATGTTTTGAAAACAAATAATAACAAACATAAAAATTAAATAATAATAGTAGTAGTAGTAGTAGTAGTAGTATTTTCTCAAATACAGAAGTAGGGTCCAAACGTCTGAGACCTCTAGTAAAAATATTTAAAAAAAATTCCCCCTAATTTAATACAAAACTTTATTTATAAATTACATTCAATTCATCATAACAATCATAAAACACTTTAATTTAATAGAACACCATTTTTTTTTTTTCTTTAACACTTTCTAAAGTAAAGCCGGGCCAAAATGTCTGACAAAACGATTAATTATTAGCATAACAATGAGCAAAAATAAATAAAAAAATAATTCATTAATTTAAAAATGTATAAGTATTATTATTAAAATAAATAAATTGTAAACAAAAGTAGGGTCCAGAAGTCTAAATAAATTAATAAAACAATATCTAAATCTGAAACTGCGATTAAAAAAATAAAATAAAATAATAATAATAATAATAAAACAATTACAAAAAAAAGTTACAATTAAACTATACATTTTTTTCTTAAACACAAAACATAAAAACATACTCATCGTGGGAGAAGAATAGCGTCTCCTCAGATTTAAGAAGGACTTCGAGTCTGTCTATGTAAAAGAGCAGCTCAAACATTCCTCAAAGTATCTATTTTTGTGCTTGGCGTAAGAATAAGTCTACTGTAAAGCATTTTCTGAACAACATTAGAGAAAATGAAAACTGAATTCTCATATTTGGTTAAACTATACCTTTTTTTATCAATAACTGAAAACCAGGAATAGAAGACTCCCTGCATTTCTAGTATCTTTCGATGTTGCTGCAAAAGGACCGCAGGTGTTTGAATAACCTTTGAAGGTCAGGTTGAGCTGTTTTATGAAGCTTTGAACGAAGGCAAGCAAACTGGAACATACAGCCGAACAGGTGCGGATTTTAATTCTGACAGAGTAACAGACCACAACTTTGGTTGTTTACCGATTTTATGCATATCAGTGTAGAAATAGTAACAGGCTAAAATATGAAACGAACACAGTGTGGTGATATAAGTGAACGATGTGTCAGTTGGCGACAATAGCTAGTTCATCATAGTTTAGCTATGCCTGAAGTCTGTTTGGGTCTCATTTCTATCAATTTTGTTATTAAAATTTCAGTTTTTGGTACTGCAGGTGTATTTTTGAACCCTGCTAATGAGAACATTTCCATCTGAGTGTCATCTTGGGAGTCTTGCCAAAAAGTCAAAGTTGTTGATCTTAACGATCTATTCATCTTCAGAGGGTGTGAAACCTTTTTATTTTATTTATTATTATTTCTCGTTTTTAGCCTGTAAGTCTCGCTATTCAGAGCTACTTAATTACAGAAGGAATTAGGCTTTTTTTCCCCCCCGTAACACTTTCCAGATGATTAATTAGTTCCCTCAAGATGTCATTTTGAAATTCCAGGTTTGAAAGAGACCTTGTACTGAAGGCGCCTTTGAAGACCGAATGGAGTTCAAATCGTAAATAGTCAAGAAAAGTGAGCATTTATTTTGTGACTTTTTTAAATATAATGTCGAAAATGATTGTTAAGTCTCTCATGACAGCAACCGGGGAACTAATTGGTCGAATGTTAATTAGCAGTTCTTATGAAAAAGGATTTTTGTAACTTGTTGCCACAAAAAGAATAACAAAAAAATATTACAATTATTCATCAAATTAACAGGACATATTAAGCATAATAATACAATAATAATATAACAATCTACTTTTATAGAAAGAAAGAAAGAAAGAAAGAAAGAAAGAAAGAAAGAAAGAAAGAAAGAAAGAAAGAAAGAAAGAAAGAAAGAAAGAAAGAAAGAAAAAATATTTTATGTAGTATTTAGGCTTTTTTAATCAATAGAAAAAAAAATGTCATTACCAGTAAATATTAAAATATAATATTTATTAGATATTTTACTATATATTATATATTTTTTTTATATAATATAATATTTATTAGATATTTTACTATATATTATATATTTTTATTATTTTATTTATACTTATTTATTCGTAGTTATATAGAAATGATAGGTTTTACATATTTTTTGTACAAAAAAAAAACATTTTCATTACAAATAGCACATGAAACCTATAAATTAAATCAATACAAAATTTTATAAAAAATAATCAAATTAAATATTTTATTATATAGTCATAACATTAGTATATTAGTGTAATATTGTATTTTTATCAATTTAAATTATAGGTTTTATGTACCATTTGTACTATATATACCAATGCCAGTATAACAAAAAAATAATATTAAAAAGAATAATCATTGCTTAGATACTCTATTTGTGTTTTTGTTACTATAAAATAGTAAGCATAATATAATATAATAATATTTTAATTAAAAGTATATATTTAATAGTTACAGATTTAATTATTTTTATATATTTTTACAAAATACTTTTTAATATATATTTTAATACAAATAGTACATACAACCTATCATTTAAATCAATTAAAAATTTATAAATAAATAAACCTGAAAAAAAATAAAATCTTGAATTATATCTTAAAATGTAAAGTCTGTCTGAAAGCCACAGGAATGAATCCACCCCAAAAATCCGGAATTTCCTTTGACAGATAAGACGACTGTAAATTACAAGCTGGCACTAACTTCTCCTTCCCCCTTCCTTACTCTCCCAAACACTTGCCATTGATTTTCTCTGAATTCTTCTTTTAGAGATTAGATTAGAAAATTGTATTACCCACAAAGGGGAGCTTTGTCTGTAGGCTATCTAAATTAAATCGACCGCTGCCTGTTGGCGAAATGTGAAAAAAATTGTCTCCAGCCTTTTTATCAAGTGGCACGATATGGCTCCGACAACACGTTGTGACATAAACACAGCATCTTTACTGCGATATTGATGTTTCGGATTACGCATTTATCCCCATCTCAGGAAAACCCCCAAAGGAGGAGACAGCTTGGACGAAGTCTTCTAGAGATTTAGACCGCAGGATATGGTTCAATCTAAAAGTTAATTAGATGCCGGATCCTTCCAGGAGGTTCGCAATCGACGACACAAAGCGAGATGCGGAAACGTTCACGAAGGACTCAAGCTCACTGGGCCGAAACAGATGTGTGTCATGTGTAAATCCCACCAAGTGCATGATGAATTATGTGGGCAAACCTAGTTTCGTTTCTGCGCAGTCGCTCTGACCGGAGGGAATGTGTGACATGGACCCGTACCGGTGGGAAATTATATGAGAGGGGGGTGTCATGTAAGACTACTTCTCCTCTCAAATTCTCCATTGGCGCTAGCTTTGAGCGCCAGTAGCCTACAGCGAGCAACGTGTCTCCCAGCGGTGGGGCCACTTGGCGGGGTTGTTCCGGATGGCTGGGCGCATATACGGGGCCGTCCATGTAGGACAGGGCTCCAGAGTGAAGCTCACCCGAGCAGGTGTGGTTGGACTCATCCTCGTTGCTGCCGCAGTCATCGGTGCCGTCACACAGCCATCTCTTCGGGATACAGCGGTTGTTCAGGCATTTAAATTGGTCCGCTGGGCAGCTGCGATTGGCTGAGGAGAAACAAACGGCCGGTCAATTGGTAACACAAATTCATTTGAAAGCATCTGGGTGTCCAAATGTTTTGAGATGTGTCATACTAACATACCATGGCATACTGTATCCCAGAATGCAATGTGCTCAACTTGATCTTTCTTTTCAAAGTAAGGTGCGTCAACTATTATTCTTAACCCTATAATGCCTTCTGTATCACATTTGAAATGAAAATTTCTAAGGCTTATAAATGATTAAGAATAAAAAATTATAGGTTTGATATATTATTGGTACTATATATAGGTCTTTTTTTTCAAAAGAAAAAAAAACTATTACACAGAATACTAAAATGTACTATTCATCATTTCATTATCATTAAATATTAAGAATAATATAATATAATGTAATATAATTAGTGCTGTCAAACGATTAATCGCATACAAAATAAAAGTTTTTGTTTGCATAATATATGTGTGTGTACTGTGTATATTTATTATGTATATATAAATAGACACAAATGCATGTATATTGAAAATATTTACATGCATTTACATGTCTATATTTATATTCATATAATTAATATTATAAATACATATAATTAATATATAAACAACATATTTTCTGAAATATATATATGCGTGTGTGTGTATCTATATATGCATAATAAATATACACAACACACACACATATATATATATATATATATATATATATATATATATATATTATGTAAACAAAAATGTTTATTTAGGATGCGATTAATCGCGATTAATCATTTGACAGCACTAAATAGAATATAATATAATATGATTTTTAATATATATTTAATGAATGTAAATGTAAATGATTATTTTACACATTAAAATTCTTGGTTTTAATCACTATTTTTCTATTAATTTTTATTACAGAGCACATAAAACCCATAATTTACATCAATAAAAACCTTAAACAGAATTTTTATAAATCCTTTTTATATATAGTTTTCCATTTTCTATTATGGACACAGTCTTTGTTTCTGTAGGTTTGTGGTTGGACTACAAAAGTGCAAGAAGACCTACTGCAGAGGTGTGGATCTTCATCGCTGCCATCTGAGCAGTCATCATCCCCATCACACTTCCATGAGAGCTGAATGCAACGCTGGTTCTGGCACTGAAACTCCACTGGGCCACAGCGCTTTGTCTTAGTGACCTCTGATGGGGCTGAAAAGGGCAGGAACAAGATGTTAGAGAAAGCACACACATACACAGCCTCTTCTCTCTGTCTCTTATACACATAAACACCAGGGTTATTATCGCTAACTAAAACCAAAACCATTTAAATAAATAAATAAAACTTGATTAAAAAAACTATAAATACATATTTTATAAAAATCTGACAAAACACAACAAAATTACTAAAACTTAAACTAAAATTGAAAAATGAAAACAGAAAATATAATCATTCAAAATATGAACAAAACTATAATAGTTATTATACTAAACACTGGCACACACACCATTTCTGAATTGAGGTTATTTTATTATTATTATTATTATTATTATTATTAAAGGTTGTTATTTTATTATTATTATTATTATTATTATTATTAAAGGTTCAAAAGTTTGAGGCCACTAGTTTAATTGAATGCAACGCTGGTTCTGGCACTGAAACTCCACTGGGCCACAGCGCTTTGTCTTAGTGACCTCTGATGGGGCTGAAAAGGGCAGGAACAAGATGTTAGAGAAAGCACACACATACACAGCCTCTTCTCTCTGTCTCTTATACACATAAACACCAGGGTTATTATCGCTAACTAAAACCAAAACCATTTAAATAAATAAATAAAACTTGATTAAAAAAACTATAAATACATATTTTATAAAAATCTGACAAAACACAACAAAATTACTAAAACTTAAACTAAAATTGAAAAATGAAAACAGAAAATATAATCATTCAAAATATGAACAAAACTATAACAGTTATTATACTAAACACTGGCACACACACCATTTCTGAATTGAGGTTATTTTATTATTATTATTATTATTATTATTATTAAAGGTTCAAAAGTTTGAGGCCACTAGTTTAATTTAAGACAAAAAAAAAGAAATATTACAAATTATCAGCATTAAAAAAATAAAAACAAAAAATCTGTAGTATACACCCCTTAAAATAGTGCAGTACCTAAATGTCTTAATTACACGTTGCTGTTTTTTTTTAAATCCTAAAAAACATATTTTGATGTTTAATGCTAAATAAAATTAGTAGCATTGTTTAAACAAATATGTTTTAATAACAGACTTGAAGATTATCACAATAATTAGTGAATTACTGATGTAAAAACAAAAAAAGTTGTGTTGCATTAACTTTATCTGATTGGTACATTTCTCTAAATTAGAATTAAGTAAATTTTACTTCTGTGACTTCCTTTGTCACGTGTCCTATTCACCTAAAGTAAAAGTGGCCAGTTATTTAGTTCTGAATTATGCTTATACCAGGTACACACACACTTCCACCATGTACTTATAATGACACACAAAATAAAACTGAGCAAAACCGGAAGTCATGGAGTCATTTATGCCGTAAATTGAATCCACATGAGTTTACAATGGATTTAAGGCCAAGCCACACGCAAACACAAGCACAGTTACAGCCAAACCGCAGGGTGAGTGGAGACATTTACATCCCCCACTGGAAATGGAAATCAATGGACATATTCAGCTTAACATAAACATATCTGATCTGTTGTCATATTTTCCACAAACCACCACCATTACTGACTAGCCTGCGGGTGCCAATACAAAATCTGCATATTCTGCTCTACCACATACCACTTGTAAATCCCAGAATAACAATCAATTACATCAGCTCTAACCACACATGATGCAACAAGTTTTCAGTTGGCAGTAATATTTCTGTCGCTCATATTGTGCAAATTATTGCTCATATTTCGTATTATGCCTGGATAATGATTATATACGACTAATAGAAGCTTACATGAACAGGTGATGTTATCTTTCTCCAAATGTTGGCCGTCTGCGCAGGCGCACATGTGACCTGCAGGCGTAGCAAGGCATAGAGCCGAAGAGCCGCAGCCACCGTGATTTGCCGAACACTGGTTATTACCTGAGGAAAAACACAAAGAAAGATAAATGTGATATTTAAAGCAGTTTGGAGACATTATACATGGTTGAATATGTCAAATAAACCATAATTTTCATATTATGTTTGTGTTCAAAATGTGTTGGAGAAGCTGCATTAGTTAGTTCGCTACACTAAAAGCTACAAACAAAATTTATACATACAAACTACAGTATCCACCCGGAGCTGCTTCCGTGTACAACTGTTGGCGCAAGCTACATTAAAGTGATTATTACGTTTTGAATATGGATATTTTTCTAACAAAAACACATCGAATCGCTATAGAGGCCTTTGTTCACCCCCCGGAGCCGTGTGAGACACTTTTTATGGATGGGCGCTTTTTATTTAACTTATTTTGGACTGATGCATGCAACACCCACTGAGTGGCATTAAACAGCTTGAAAGATCAAAGACACTTTTTAATATAACTCTGACTGGATTCGTCTGAAAGAAGAAAGTCATATACACCTAGGATGACTTGAGGGTGAGTAATTTATGGGCTAATTTTCATTTTTGGGTGAACTAACCCTTTAAGGCTACTTAGGTGAATAATATTTCATGTATATAATTATATTAAAACAGTTTTATGTGGCTGTAAACCAATGAAAATTAAATTACAATCAAAATTACATTGAAAACATAAATGTATACTAAATACAATACTAAAATGTTCTATTTATATAGCTGAGTCGAAAAAGTCATAAAAAGCAATACTGAACAAAAATATTTAACTGAAATGTAAATTAAATTATAAATAAAAATGTCACTATTTTTCCTCAACTATTGGCTTTAAAAAAGATTACAAACAGTAAAGTTGCAGTTTCTGTTAGTCAACGGACGAATTTATGTAACAAACTGGAAACCGTTTCGAAAATCGCATTGGGAAATTTTCCATCCTGATGGAAAATTACCAGTTGCGTGGATTTCTATTAAAATGACTGAATTATGCCTGTGAACATTCGCTAAACCATGGTGAATGTGTCTAGTGATGGGAGAAACAAACCTTTTCTAAGCTTTAAATTGGCTGAATAAATTGCTTCGCAAAATGATTTCGAAGCACAAGAAAACCACACTCTAGTGACGCCTGCCTGTCAAAACTATGTAAATGCAACAAAAACTCAAGCCAAAACATGCATAAAACAGCTTTTACAAACCCATTGCAAATGTTTTCTTGAAAGTATAGTCATTTAAATGCAATTCAAATAATAAAATACCTTTAAATATGAAGTGTCCGTATAATATGTGTTTTTTAAAGAATTATTATTAATAGGCGGGGGGGGGGTTGTTTGTTTGTTTTTGTTTTATGGATAGCTTGTCTAAACAGGCCAGTAAGAGACTATGAACTACTACTCATCCTTTTAATTACACAAATATCTCAATAAAAATGTCTACAAATTGATAAAAGTGATCTGAGATCAGGTAAAAACCATAGACGCTGGTTCAATGGCTCGCCACTGGGGGGCTATCTCAATTAACTCGCATGATTTGCATAACCCAACGGCAAACCATTGAAATTTCGAAATGTTGCGAAACAGTTATGATGTAACAAAGCCTCGTTTACTGAAATCCCCTAAATTTGGCAGTTTGATACGTGCGCCGAACCACTGTTTCGAAACAATTATTCACAAAGGTTTCGAAGCTTCACAAAGCAGTGCTTCAAAAGCGCCCATCACTAAATGTGGCTGCACTTAACTCAAGTGAATCATTTACTTGAACCAGTTATTTTATGTGAACCATCTTTAGATTTACTAAAATCATTTGAACAAGTTAAGTTAACAACATCGGCTCATATTTTTGTAGTGTTTTATTTCTCTACACAAGCTCGCAAGGAAGACGATCATGAGCGTTAAACTAAATGCGTTACCACAGACTTCAACTAACAGCATGTCCAAGCACTCCAAATGAACAATGAAATGCTTTTTCCAATGCAAATAGCTCTCCCAATGAAGCCCAGCATCCAGAGAGGACATGAAATGCCATGCTCAGAGCCTCTTGTCCAATGAATATTGATCTTTGCTCCATTAAAATCAATGATGCAAGTATCTGGCATAGACTCCCAGTGAAGAATGGCATCAATTGGACTCTACGGAACATGTGTCCATTGAATCATCTGCAGAGATTAATGCAGATTAAATCTGATCACGTTAATTGAACAAACAGTGCTTTTCGCTTTTAGTCGTTAAAATGTCATAATGCACCATGAGTGCAAATTATCATATATACAAATCATTTGTACATAGATAAACATGTCATTGTTGCATTTTAATGTAATTTTAGGAGAAGCTGATAGTCACATAGCATATATAAAAAAGTCTCTTTTTTGGCTCCATAATGTATTTACAGAAAAAGACAAAACCGTTCAGACATCTATATCATTTCCTGAGGGAAATGCTAAACGTTTTATGTGAATATGAGACTGTAAACTGAAACCACTGACCATTTCATAGAACAACAGTTCTGAGCAAATGATACCCAGCTCACTCTCAATTGTCAAGTCAGGCAAAAAAATGAGTCATAGCAAGCTAATGTAGCATAACGCGACAACAATTCTAACTCAACTCCTGAACAAAGCTAAGTGAAGCTTGTAAAATGATAAATAGAGAACATTAGACCATTTGCTTTTCTGACATGCTTGTAACATGCACTTAGCATTGTTATATCATAGCTTGAGTGACACCTCAAGAAAGAGTTAAACAGTGCATGCTAATTATCAAATCCAAAATTACATACAAATGTTGTACAAGGTATGATACAACAGCCAGACATGTTTAGTAAAGTTTAAATTTAATAAACAAAGGCTTGTCATTTCCACTAAAATCTAAATGCACTAGCAGGTTGTTATCTATTCAGCACAATTCCACTTGGCTGCATTAGCTTAGCATGTGAATTCACTATCCAATGTTGAGTGCTTCAGTGGGCAGTGCCGTCCCCCACAGTGTTTCAGACCCCCTATGTTGCACACTGACAGGTGCTTACAGCTGCCAATAGCTTTAATCACAGGTGCCGAAATGATGCACTGAACATCTGGTCAACATCAGTAGCATAGCGTAAACACGATTTTCAAGCTGTTTGTTAAGAACAACAGCATATGAATTACAACCATCGACCACCTTGGAAAAGTTTCCAACACCTTCATTATCCATTGAAGTTCCATTTGGATACCTTTTTGAGACCCATTTGTGGATATTTAAACTGGAGCGTTGCTATACCTTAGTTTGTCTTTTTGTTTAGCGGGTCATTGAAGTTTGAGAATGATTTAAGCACAGGTCACAATGCTATTTTTAGTCACATTCCTACTTTACCTGAAATGGTTGGGTCAATCCTGGCCTGCCATTGGCTGTCATTAAGAATGACATCTCTACCAGATGCAACATATGAGTAACTCTACTGGAGCCGCCACAGCGATTAACCTTGAGCAAAAATTGTAGACCAAAATGAACATTCATCATCACCCTCTGTCACCTTACTAGGTCACAGCACCTATGACGTGTACAACTAAAAAAACAGTTTTGATCAAAGCCATTTTATCCCATTCAGAACAAGTTAAGCCACCAAATATAGTGGTTTAGTAAAAGAAAATGTGTGCAAAAGTCACCACCAGTGGCGTAATTCTGTCTTTGTAAATTCCCCTGAAATTTTGATTTACCCATTTCTGCACAGTAGGGTGATGGAGAAAAATGTCTCAAAGCTGAGTATAGGCGCCAAAAAACTGCCCAGTTCCTCAGAACAATTACTCGTCACTGGAGACATAAGTGGAGATCTGGATCCAGAACCTCAGAATGACAAATCATACAAATTTCCTGCAAATGCCTTCAAATTATCCTTTAAAATATGAGAGAAGTTAGGCTTATTTGATCTGGGCCCCGAAAATGCTTGGATCATGAAGTCTTAAGGTTAAAATTACCATTAAGTATCCTTCTCGGGGAATATCCATTGCAAAGCATTTATTCAAATTCGGGGACTTTCCGGTGCGGCATTAGTTTCTAGAATGTTCAGCTGTTTAAAAGGTGAACGCATATGGGCCAATATATTTCATTTCCATATATCGTACAGTATGCCAAGTGTGTGCCAACACAGGATTTGGCCTCTAGGCCTAGCTATGGGATGATGATATATTAAGAATCAGACCCCTCAGAACTCGGGCGATTTAAATCTTAGAGTTTCTGGAAGACAGTCAATAGCTAGACATCAAAGTCCTTCTATATCATTGCAGCCCTTGGCAAGATTTCAAGAATTAATTATGGCTTAAAATCTAAGCCACCAAATATAGTGGTTTAGTAAAAGAAAATGTGTGCAAAAGTCACCACCAGTGGCGTAATTCTGTCTTTGTAAATTCCCCTGAAATTTTGATTTACCCATTTCTGCACAGTAGGGTGATGGAGAAAAATGTCTCAAAGCTGAGTATAGGCGCCAAAAAACTGCCCAGTTCCTCAGAACAATTACTCGTCACTGGAGACATAAGTGGAGATCTGGATCCAGAACCTCAGAATGACAAATCATACAAATTTCCTGCAAATGCCTTCAAATTATCCTTTAAAATATGAGAGAAGTTAGGCTTATTTGATCTGGGCCCCGAAAATGCTTGGATCATGAAGTCTTAAGGTTAAAATTACCATTAAGTATCCTTCTCGGGGAATATCCATTGCAAAGCATTTATTCAAATTCGGGGACTTTCCGGTGCGGCATTAGTTTCCAGAATGTTCAGCTGTTTAAAAGGTGAACGCATATGGGCCAATATATTTCATTTCCATATATCGTACAGTATGCCAAGTGTGTGCCAACACAGGATTTGGCCTCTAGGCAAAGCTATGGGATGATGATATATTAAGAATCAGACCCCTCAGAACTCGGGCGATTTAAATCTTAGAGTTTCTGGAAGACAGTCAATAGCTAGACATCAAAGTCCTTCTATATCATTGCAGCCCTTGGCAAGATTTCAAGAATTAATTATGGCTTAAAATCTACAGCATACATATTCATATTTACCTTTCTGGCTCTGTGGGTCATACACCTGAATCCCGAAGAGAGGTGGTCTTTCAGCCCGCATTAGGGCAACATCATTGGATGACAAATCCAGACGGAATATCGAGGCGTTCATGTAATCCGTCCAGAATATGTAATTCTGGTAATGCGCAATCCCAAATGGATGATTCAACTCTTTCCCACTGTACACCACCTGTGAAAAGTAGATCAGGTCTGTGAGTCACAGGGAAATGTTGAGATGAACATAGAGAGGAAACGGAGGTGTCTGAGAACTAAAGAAACAACTCACTCATTTACTAACCGTTCTGTGGCTGCCGTTGAGGTAGATTTTCTCAATGTGGTCATAGTAGGCGTCACACCAGTACATGACACTGGAGGAGTGGTCCAGAGTGAGGCCGTTAGGCCACAGCATGTTGGATGTGACGAAGATCTGACGGTGAGATCCATCCATCCAGGCCTTCTCTATCCTTCCTCTGCTGTCAATTAACTCATCCTCCTCCCAGTCCGTCCAATACATCCATCTAAGAAACCAAGTGAGAAATTATATCTTTAAGATCATGACACCCTGCTGAAGAGGACCAGCTTAGACAGGAATGAATTTCCATTCTGCTCTAGATGGTTTAATACAGATAGGCATTGTTCTGGTATCTCAGGGGTGGGGAAACTCTGGCCTTGGAGATCTACTGTCCTACAAAGTTTAGCACGAACCCTAATCAAAAATGCCTTCATGTAATTTTCAAGACTTTGGCTAGATTTTTCAGGTGTGTTTGATTATTGTTGCTGGTTTCTAGCTTTTCCAAGCTGTTCGTAAGCTGGTAGACCATCTTGGACCAAGAACAAAACAGTTACTAGCTGGCTGTACCAGTTCAAGTTGGTCAAATTGGATTTTGGAATGCAGAGTTTAAAAGTCAGTTACAAAAAGGTAGTTCCCTTTCATGGGAACTTCAAACTGCGTCCTCTAGGGGTCGCTATGGGGAATGCCTCGTTGTGACCCGTGTCTGAAGCATACATTGAAAAAACACCAACTCGTTGGCCGGCGACAGCCATGACGTCACTACCGGTGCGACTATAGTATAAATAGGCGCCGGGAGCTACACATCATTCTCTTCTTCGTCTTCATTGACTGTTTTGTTTGAAGCGTACATTTCTGTGGTAAGAGCGATCTCTATTTATCTCATTATGGCGAGCACTAGCAAAGCATTTAAGGATGTGTGCATCCGTGTTGACGTTGTTTAACATCTGATGACACACACAATCTATGCGCTGTTTTGTTTGGGCAAAGAGCACGCATGCGATGTCTCCGAGGGGGCAATCAGCGTGCACTGCGAGCGTTTTTTCCAAGAAAAAAAAAAGAAAAAATGCTCCGCTCTCGTTTGTCTCTCTTTTCGAGGAAAGAGGGGCAGCCATCTGCTTCCCG